AGCCTGACGTTTTTGGGAGGTGTCAGTCCGGGTTACAGCAGCTGTGTGTGCTGTTAGAAATACAGACACAAACTGAGCTGCAAAAATGCCTTGCTCAGGTAACGTACCCTTTATTCAAATAACTTTTGCTCTGGAATGTGCTCCCTGCCTGTAATGCCAAGTTTAATTAAGAGAGGATCGCAGGGATGAGATACAGACTTCATTTTTCACTTCTCGTCAACTTTCCCTCCTTGCCTTTTTCCCTGTTCTCCTTTGATCTTCAGAAAATCTCAGCTCATGAAAATTAAGGCTCCACAGTCTTCAAGGTAAAGAAATATGAGTAAGCACGAGCACCTCGGATCACAGATTTGCATGCGCTGTGCTTGCTGCAGGCTGTCTTTCTTCAGTTGACTCAGGTTTTCACCTCGGTAGAGCAGGGGTGAGGAATTTCCTTGTTGAGGACTGAATAGGCTTTTCAAACACCTTTGAGCCCGCTCTGTCATTATGCAGCATCGCACAATGGTTCGTTGAAGCCAAACCGTGGCTGTGGGCTGCATGAAACAGAGCATGGCCCCAGCTCAGCGGGTGGGTGGCAGCTGGGCCTGCAGCAGGCTGCTGGATCCCCAACCCTTGGGCTCCTGCTTCACATGCCTGCAGGGCTGCCTTTCTGCACCGAGGTGGACATGGACACCTGTGGATCCATCCTGTTCCCGTTCTCTGCTGTCGTCAGCTCTCAGCGATGATGCTGTGGCCTCACCTTTGAAGTCTTCCTGCCCTGCTTGGGGAAGAGGAAGCAAGAAGCGACTCGTTGGCTGCCTTCGGGGCCTGTCAGGTGCTGCTGTCGCAGTGCTGGAGATGGGGAAGTAAGAGAAGCAGTTTCTGATTTATTTATGACAAAATGCGCTGCTATGGTTCAATAGTGCTGCATTTCTACAGTGAGAAGGAAATGAGAATTCAGGTGGGAATCGGGTGGTCGTGGCTTGCAGAGATGGATCACAAGGGCTTGCAGAGATGGATCACAAGGGCTTGCAGAGATGGATCACAAGGGCTTGCAGAGATGGATCACAAGGGCTTGCAGAAATGGATCACAAGGGCTTGCAGAGATGGATCACAAGGCTTGCAGATGGCTGCGACATGGAGGAAAGTGAAGTACTGCTAATTGGCTGAAGTTTTCTGTGTGCTGATGGACCCTCACTGGGACTCCTGCTCATCCTGTCTCTGTTCTGTGCCTCTTTGAATTTTCCCCACTGATACCTGTTTCAGTCATAGACCAGAGCTGATAGTTCTGGAACGATCTCCCTCCTCCCAGTTCATAAAGTGAAACTTAGGCAGAAAACATTTATCCTTACTGAGGCTCCTGCTTATCGCCGTGTCTTCAGCTCGTGAGGCACGGAAGAAGATAAAATGGAAAGAATTGAGCTGGTTATGTTGCAGTGTGGGTGTCATGCCATCTGATCTGCAGGAGGCTGAGGTTCTCCCGTGTTGCTGGTAGAGTGGCAACGTGATGCACTGCCTCTGTTGCGTGCAGCTGTAAGGGAAGTCAGCAGGAAAGGGCTGTTCAAAACATTCATGGTTGCCTCTTTAGCAGCTGAAAGCAGCAAACTGCTGCACGTGGCAGTTGATATTGCAGAAAAAAAGACTGGTGATGTATTAGCACCTTCAGTGCCTTGCCAGGCAGTGACTTTGAGTGATACAGTATGTCCTTGCATAAATCTTCATGAAGAGTTTGTATTGCTTGTGCTCAGATTTTATATACATATAAAATCAGCTCTCTTGATTGCATCATCTGAAAGCGTATCTTGCTTGCTTATGCTTGTAATTTGGAGAGTTTTGTGCTTGGTTGGAATATTTCAGATTAGCCTAGTTTCCTCTTCCCTCCCCATAAAGGAAAGTTAAATAAAAATAACTGTTAGCTTTCGCGGGCGTGCGGTTTGGCGCAGACCAAATGCTTATTTTATCTGAGGCCTCTGAAGGTGGAAGGAGATGTTTCAACAAGTCCCTTGGAGGCTGGCAGAGGCGCAGGGCTGGAGAGCTGCATGCCGTTAGCACATCTGCATGCATAGGTGGAAGCCATCACCCTGCTGGCTCTCACCGGCCTCTATCAGGGCTGCTCTTGGTCTTGTTTTTGCACAAGTCCTCTTTTGGCAGACGGAAGATGTGAGGCTGCGTTTGCCGAGTCTTTGAGAAGGTAATTCTTGGCCAGCCACATCTTTGAATACAACTTTTTGAGTTGGAATGGAGAGATGAGGATTTTCAGTCACCGAAGGTGCTCTTCCGCTGTTCTAGAAACTCCTTTTTAGGTCAGATTGAATAAATCTGATGCTGCTGGAAAACAAAACCGTGGAGAAGACGGTCTGAGATTTGCTGCTTCTGTGGATTTGTCTGCAGCGTTGAAATCATCTGGGATGGGTGAGCTGCTGAGTGCTGGGGCAGGAAGTGAGCTGCGGCTAAGGTAGCACCGTCTGAATGCACACTTGTCAGAAAGCTGCTTTCAGCTAATCCCTGGGAGGAAGCGAGCTATAATCAGTACTCTGTGAGCTAATCACAGGAAATCTATTGCTCAACAGGAGCCTCGAGGGGGGGTGGGAGGGGAAAAAAGGAAAAAAAGAGAGGAGTGTTAGAAAAATACCCGTGCAGACATTGCGTTCTGCTTTTGTATTCAAAAAATGTTTGGCCCGAGAAAATAGAATATCTGCTGAAAAGACCAGCCCTCCAGAGTGCATTGATGAGCTGCACAATGCCTGTGTTTGTTTTCTTGGAAGGTCTTTTTGCCCCCTTGTCCGGAATAAAGAAGCATCGCGGCTCGTCTCCTCCAGGAAGGTGTTCTGCTCACGAATGGTGGTGCTGGGAAGGCTGAAGGAGATAACAAATTAGGTCAGTGTGCTGGGAATGTCTCTGAACATCTCCCCAGGGATTTTTGTGTTACAAATCAAGAGTGAAACACGACTCTCAATCTCCCTCGTCACACCAGTCTTTTCTTGGAAGCAGCACAAATGAGTTCTTTTCTTGTATTTTTTTTACTTTGTCTTTTTTTTTTCCCCGCTCAACTTTCGCCTTGGAGATTAAGTTAAGGCATCTATTCTGCTCTTTTCCTCTGTGCTGGACCTGCCTGTCCCGGATGCTGCTCTCTGTGCATGACAAGCGTTGCCAGCAGCGCCCTGTAAGGCTCTGCAGGAAGAGAGCAGATGACAGCGCTGCCGCCACGCCGACTGCTGGGAGGATAACTGGCCTTTCTCAGACCTCGTGCCCTGAGCCAGAGCAGGGCTGGGCAGAAGCCCTTAAGGGTCAGGCTATTTTGCAGTCTTTGGGTCTCCTCTCTTTTCTTCTGCTCCTCCCATCGGACATCTCATAGTTGTGTTGTACTGATTTCAGGTGTTGTGCATGCAGCCGTGCCCGAGTGCTCTGCACTTCTTGCAGCAGTCCAGGTGCTGTCCTGGTGGGGTTCTGCAGCCACATCAGGCTGCAATTTCAAAAGCAAAATGGTTGTGTTTCTTAGTATCATGCTAAAGGGTAATGGGTTACTTCTGCTTTTTGGTCAGCCCTGTAAAATAGACTTCCGTTTGACGTTTGTGTTGCTCCTTTGGTGTTACATTGATGATAGATAAATAAACTGAGTAATTTTTACCTGCACGAAGCAGGGCTGAGTTCAGTTGGCAGCTCCATGAGCTTCCAATCAGGGTGTATGTATTGCTGGGGATTAATTGTGGCTGCTGGGAGGGACAGCATGAAGTGAGGCTGTGCTGTGGCAGGGGTAGGAATTCACATCTGTGCTATCAAACAGCTCCAAGCTCAATATTGCGTTTTCCAAGCATTAGGCCGGTTTCTTTTTGCATCACATCCTAGACATTGAAATACAGGTGAAGCTTGGAGGACACAAATGTATTAATTTGAACGTTTTACAAAGAAACTCCAACTCCTTATGGATGTTATTGATCCTCAAGATTTTTCTCTCTTCCTTCCCCTGCTCAAGGCCTTGCAGTTCTGCACAGTTCTGCTGAGGTATGGACACACATGATGTATGTTTAAAAACTGATATGCTCAAGTAAAGCATGCTAGGAAAACTGTGACAGCACACAAAAGCAGGTAGGAAAGTGCTCGTCTTTGATTTCATTTTATTTCCCTTTAGTCATTCTGCAAACAAGACAGAGATGAAAAACATTTGTCCTTTCTTAAAACTCAAAGGAGCTGAAGAGCAGCCCTGGGGCAGAGCGTGCTGCCCTGCTGCCCAGCATTGGAGCCCTCCTGCTGCTTCTCCAGCAGGACAGAGGGTGCATTTGCTCTTCTGCTTCTGCAGCTCAAGTTATGAGGGCACTGAGGACTACAGAGGATGAGGAAAGTACATCCTTTGTCCACAGGGGGTACTGTCATATGCAAGAGATACACACCAAGAATCAGAGCTGTGCGGTCACAGGCTCTGGCCCCTGTGATTATGTTTTGTGGAGTAAGTAGCAGAGCTGCTGGGAGGAAAGGGTTCAGCTCTGTGTCTTTTTTTGTGAATGTAGTGGGTTGCAGTGCTGTTCTGTGGTGGGAATGAATCTGTCTGAAGTCTGTAGTTAAGTATGGTTTGCAGCCTCACAGCTTGTCTGTGGTTCTTTCCATCACTTTCTAGTTCTGGTAATTAAACATAGTGCCACTGTGACTGTGAGGAATGCACAAATCCATTATTAGTAGTGATGTTATCTTCACTGGCTAAGGTGAATCCATTTCCTTTTCTCTCTGTTACCTGTACTTGATTGTCGATGGGACACGAATGATTGCCCCTACCTGGTGTCTTTTCCTGTGAGAGAAGAGGAAAGGAGCTTCTAGATGTATCTCTGCAGTCCTTTATTTTATTTCTCTATTTTTTACCTCTTCCAATCATGGCACCTAAGGCCAAACCTCTACAACCACTTCAGAAGTGCTTCCTGGGCAATGGAGGTTTCCTCTGCATAATGAAGAGGGGCTTAAGGACAAAGGAGGAGGGAACTGCTCCTTTCTTCTGCTTCTTCAAGCTTTAGTGAGCTTGAAGGATTTTAACTGCAAATAAAAAACGCATTTCCTTAGGTGTGAAGCTGATCCAGGGCATTCTCCCACAGCCAGTTTGCTCTGTCAGCCTTGAGCTTCTCTACTTGATGGTCCCTGCAGCCCCACGTGGACTTGTTTTCTTCTCTCCTGCTCCTCAACTCTATTTCAGGTGGAGTCAAGGAAGCTCCTGAACACTGAACACAAACCAGCTGGTTGGAGTTGCAGTTCAGAGGTTCAGTACAGGTGCTGTTACATCAGTGCTTTGAAGTGCCTCATTTCTGGTGGAATAGATGGATTTGGGGTTTCCATATAGTTGCTTCCAACCTGTTGCTTAACAGTTTCTTCTCTTGAACATACGAAGTGCTAAGGAGTAGTTATCTTCAGCTTTGATGAACTTGTTTGTGCTCTTATCACTGAAAATTCAGAATTTTCACTATAGTGAGGATTCCATTTTGTAAAACATGCAAATAAAAGTGGGAAAGTGTAAAAATTGGCAACCTGAATCTCACGTTACGGCATTATTAGGTGGCTGGGCTGTCAATGAAAGGATGCAGGGACTTAGCACGGGCTTGGAGGACCAGTCTGTCTGTTTCAGACATAGGCTGGTTGGCTGCCTTTACATCTTGCTGTTGCTTATATCAAGCAACAAAGCAATGCATGGATAGATGGGTTTTACCCCCTTGTACTCCAAGTGCAACTTCAGAGCTGTGTTCTTGCTGATGCAGACCCTCCCTTCTGTACTGTCCTACCTCTGCACTCCTAAAAGCTGATTCTATAAAGCAGGACTCTTCAACTGTGGTGATTTGTACAAGGAGATTATATGTCTCAAACTGGTGGCACATGCTTTTGTGAAAGCAGTGCTTATTGTTAGGAAAGAGATTGGAGTTAAAATCCCTGCGGATTGGCTGCTCAGTCGTGCTGTTAAATTCCAGGGTTCTTTTTTCCCATATTGCAGGGTAGGTACTGGAAAATTGAGAAGATCCTGCAGATAACTTGCAACATCTGAAAGAGCAATCAGTAAGCAAAAATGGAAGGCTAGGAACCATGGTCTGATCTACGGCTGCGTCCCCACCAGCTGAGTCCAGTGTTGCAGGCCTATTTATCACTCTGTCATCAGGAAGAGGGCTTGAAGGCAGATTTGTCTAGGTGGATGTTGTGCAGCTTTGACAGCTGTTTCCCATCAGTCTGTAAGTCTGTGGGGCAACCCACACATGGTCACTTCTCAACTGAGGCTGCCAGAACTTTGGTTCATGCTGTTTGTGCCTCTGAAGGTATGTGTACAGAAATGATGTGCTTTCCTGGGCATTCATGGCGGTAATGCATTTCAGTCTCTTTTGAGCTTCTCAGTGTAAAAAAGCTTGCTCTCGTGCTGCTTTGGGCTGCTGGCCTGCTTTGCTTTTCCTAGTTGGGATTTGGCAGCGTTCTTCTCTGCGGTGTGTAACAGCAAGGAAGGACAGCCCTCCTATTTGCAGCTCTGTGAAAGCCACACACGGCGTGCAGTGCAGTGTTTATACTTTGTGAGTAAGGCGTGGGTAGCGATAGCAGGTTGTACTCACTGTCCCAGCCTGGCTCTGAATGGCACTGACAACATCACGAGAAACAGAGGAGGGGTGCTGACTTCTCTTCCAGGCTCATCTTTTGGGCACATTGAGGAATGAGGGGCTTGTTTCTTATTCAGCTGACATGGAGAGATGATTTCTGTATGCTGTTTACAGCCTATGCCTTTTCCTTGGCGATCAGCAAAAAAAATCTCCAGTATATCATGGGGAGGGAGGAGAGGCTGCTGTAGGTTTCATTGAGTGAATGTGGAATGCCTCCTGCAGATGCTTTGTTGTGCTGTGTGTTGGCACTGGTCGCTGTCTCTTCGTGCTCACTCTTGTGTTAAGAACTCTGGTAGGATTATGACAGTAGTGTGTGAGTGTGTATTTACATGGGTGTTTCTCACAAGTGAAGAAAGTGTGGGATAGAGGATTGAAGCTGTGCACGTCCTTGCTCAGAAGTGGAATACATCTAGTAGATCTGTATCCGTGCTCTTCTATTTAGGCTGTGTGAATTGGGTAGAGATATTCTTGATTCTGCTTAATGGGGATGGTGTGTTATGGCTCTAAAGACAAGCTATTCTGCTCTCCACAAGATAAATGACAAGAAAGGACTCTGTAGCATGAAGCACTGAGCTAGAACTGCCCTTAGGTTACACTAGTGTCCTTACGTGCTTTATCACTTGCGTGTATGAAGCCTTGATGTCAACAGTTAGTGAACCAGACTGGGGAATGGATGCACATCTTAACTGTCTGTTCTTTCTGATTGGCTCGGTGTTATCACTGGAGAAGCCTGTCACTGCATCCCACAAGTGCTGCTGCTTGCCCTGTGAAGGGGTGGCCCAGGGTGGGAGTGGGGAGCCAGAAGGGAGGAAAGGAGCTCTTCCTTGAGGGAAGCATCAGTGCTGAGCAATGCAGTGCTCGCTGTGCTTTGCAAAGATGAATTTGTACCTCCTTTCCCTACTGGCCAACAAAAGAAATGCTCTGTTTGTGTCTTCCGTGCTTGCTTCATATGGTTTAACCAATATTTCTGTTTCAGAGTCCTCACTAGCTGTTCAGAACCATGTCTGACAACGGAGAACTGGAAGACAAGCCACCAGCTCCTCCTGTGCGGATGAGCAGTTATGGGGGAAAGGACCCGTTGTCTGCCAACCACAGCTTGAAACCTCTGCCCTCCGTACCAGAAGAGAGAAAACCTAGGAATAAAATCATCTCCATATTCTCTAGCACTGAAAAAGGTGAGATGCCTCAATTTTCTATCTATTTCTTTATTCTTCTTCCAAGGTTTTGTAGCACGTTATGCATTTGAGTCCAAAATCTGCAAGTGAGATTGTGGAATTTCTTTACTGCAGCCTGTCTGAGTATTAGAGAAAATGCAGGAAGTTTGATCTGTGTGTTCAGTGAGCTGTTCTTTCCCTTTGCCCTGGATTGCTTGAAGATGAAGTGCTCAGGAAGAGAAACTGAATGAGTTCTTAAGAAAGCCTCAACCTGGTACTTGTCACGTTTGCTGCATTTTTCAACAACCCTAATGAATGTTTCTGATTCCTGCATATCATGTTCCCTACCATTTTGCTAAGTTAAGAACAGATTTTTAGTTTAAACTGAGCATCCGTCTGTTTTGGAAGTTACTTGATGTTAATGACCATTAAGGTGGTACCTTTGAGGTAAGAAGTGGGAAAGCAGGGGGTGTTTGAAGGAGAATAGGGAAAAATGAAGTCCTCCTCCAGAGATCAGATCTGTGTAACTGCACATTTCAGGTTAATTACCAGCAGGGGAAAATCTACCTCTGTGTAGAAATGGCTTCTAACGCCTGCTGGAATAGAAGCATGCAGAGATTTACTGGCCTGACCTGAGACTGCAGTGTGTTTTGTTACTCTGTACCCTTCAGTGTTTTTTAAAATTTATTCCTGACAGCAGTCAATGCTAAATGTTAACGCATGTTGACATCAGTTGTGTTTTGGATCGACTCAGCAGCTGTCACTGGTAGTTGAGCGCAGCCTGTCCTGCATTTTGGGACCAGTTGAGCTGTGTATCTCTTTACAAACACTTGGGAATGGGTTACAGAAATATGACGTGCTCCCTATGGAAGAGCAGACACTGAAGCAGAGGAATGTGTTTTATTGTTCTGTCAGTGTTAGGAAAGATGTTGCACATTACTGTCTTGTCACGGGGAAGACCTGGCTGCTCTCAGTGCTTTCCAGTTCCGCTCCTGGCTTCCTGCACTGGGTTGGCACTGATGTGTTAGGTAGGCCTGGTTCAGACGTGCTGGCACAGGTTTGTCTGCTGAAAGAGACTTTGCTCCTCTGGTAGCTCATATTCGCTCCGCTAAGAGTTTCCCCCAGTGCTGGTGTTGGTTCTCACTCAGCTGTGAGCAAATGGCAACAAATGCTTGCAGCAGGCTTCCTGCACTCACAGATAGCTTGCCACAATGTGGCAGCGGTGCTGCTGGGAATGGTGGGCGTGTTTTCCTTTTCAGAGGATGGAAAGGCTTGGCTTTTGGAAGCAGAACAGTTATTTCACAAGGTCACTTATTGTGCAGCAACTGGCTGTGGATGCATGGCAGCAGTACAGGTAGTGGTCTTTTTATCTGGTATAGGTAAAAGCCTTGAAGAGGTAAGTCTGTAAAGCAAACATGAGAAGGAAGTGCAGGCTGGTAGCAACACCTTGAGAGCAAGACTTGGGTCTGTGAAGGAAAGTGCTCTGAACTAATAATACTGAGTAAGACTTGCTTGTGTTGTGAAATGAGCTGCTCATGCAAGCAGGCACAGTGTGGCTGGAGAGCTTTGTAAAGTTTTACAGTGCCTTTACTTCTCCTCAGACATTTCCTCTTTCCATCTTGACAGTGGGTTCATTCATTGCTGGAACAGCCATGAGGGTGGTTGGGGCATTGTCTGAGGTCACCTGAAATTGCTTTAAAATGTGAATACTTCAATTTGTTCTGTAGATACTGTAAATACCAACATTCATCTGCATGCTTGTTCAGCATGCCTGTGGATCAACTGATACTTGGTGGCGCAAAGTAGAAGTCCTTACAGCAAAAGTTGTGCCACTTTGTCTTTTAGATGTTGAAAAGTATTTGAAACAGTGTCCTTCTGAAAAAAAGTTCTGTGTGGTATCACAGTATCACAGAATTGTAGGGGTTGGAAGGGACCTCCAGAGCTCATGGAGTCCAACCCCCTGCCAAAGCAGGTTCTCTACAGCAGGTCGCACAGGTCGGCATCCAGGCAGGTCTTGAACATCTCCAGAGAAGGAGACTCCACCACCTCCCTGGGCAGCCTGTTCCAGTGAATAATGATTGATAACGATGTGATATGATGGTATGATAACGTGGTTGGTGGTAGTTGTTTTGTTCATTGGCATAGCTGATGTGCACTCCCATGGGAAAGGCCTGTTTGAGGAAAAGCTGGCTTTTTATTCTGCTGCTGGTGAGCTGTATGCTGGGGTGTATGCAAGACAGTCTTCCAAACTAACTTTGTATTTGGGCCAGTACAGAGATTAATCAATTACTGCTAAAATATTAAATTCTTCTTTTCAAAAAATGAAGGAATGCCTTCCCAGGAGATGTACAAGGCTGTTAATGCAGATGGGCAGACGTGGTGCAGGGCTCATGAAGCTGTCTGGCTTTGCTCTGCAGCCTTCTGTCCCTTGATGTCACAGGGTCCCTCCTGGCTGTCTCATTGAGTCCCTCAGCTCCTCCCATGGGAGGTGGGCTGGGGCACTTGCTGCAAGCAGCAGGTTGAGCACAAGCAGGGCTCCTGCCCCAACTCTGAGCTAGTTCTGTACTGAAATCAGCAAAAAATCCCATTTAAATCACCTCATCAGGGAGCTTTTGCCACCAGTTCCATTGTTCCAGATAAGTGATGAGATAGTCATCTTTCTTACTAGAGTACTTAATTGCCATGAATTTCCTTGGCCAAGCATCTGAAGTCAGATGAACCTGTGTGCATTTTTGGAAAGCTTCGAAGCAGTCTTCTCAACCCAGAAATGTTTATTCTGGAGCAGAACTTACTGAAGGAGTGCTGCAGGGAATAGCCCAGGCCCCAGGGTCGTGCATGCAATGTGCTTGGACAGCAGACTCAGAGCAGAGCCCCATGGTTTCAGCTGTGCTTTGGGGACCTGAGGTTTGCCAGTGCCTCCTGCTGCTGAGACAGGCCGTCCTGCTGGAGCATGCTGCCATGCAAGGCTTTGCACAGGGGCCCCTTGCATTGGTACTGGTTGGTGATGCAGGAGGAGTGCATGGCTAATGCATTTCAAGGGGCTCAGGCTTCATATGGGGAAAATCCGAAGTTCACTTGTGCTTCAAAATGACCGTTGCCCTTTATTAAAGGGATTCCCATTTAAACTGAGAGCTGTGGTGCAAACATAATTGGAGGTTTAAAAATAGCCTGGCCTCACAGTGGCCTTGTTAACAGAGTCTCAAGTATGTCTTGCCAAAGCATGGCTCTCCCGACTTGCCTCTTGACTGGAGTTTTGCTGCTTGCATTTGTTTAAAGTCTCTGATCTGCTGTTCTCTTGGGCAGAGCTGTGTTTTGGTTCCTGCCTGGTGTACTGGAGATGTGTATTTGTGGGAGGATGGGGTTTATTTGTGCAGCACATTCTGGATGATTTGAGCACCAAGCCGTGTTCCCTAGCTGTTAAGTGCTCTGGTACAGTAATCTTCCTGAGGAATATAGCTCTTCTTCCTCCTGCTTTCACATAAACAACTGCAAAAGGTTGGGAAGGAGCACAGCTTTCCTTAAAGATGTTAAATGAGAACATTTGACAGTCCGTTTGCTTTTTGGCTCCGACCTGTGCAGCCATATTAAAGATATCCTGTTTATAATAGCTGTGTCTTTCCACTGCATTGTTCAGCTCGCGGCAGCCCACATGGCTTTTCGTTTGTAAGCATTGTCCTGTGTTCCCGTCCTTCCTTTCCTGCCAGCAAGAGGGGATTTTGGACAGTCCCTGGCTCTGGGTGCTGTGACTTAGCTTGCCCCATCACTTGCCCCGGCAGCGTTTAACCACAGTCACTAAGCAAGCCCTATTCTATCTGCACTTTTTCTGTAATGAATCTTTACGGCTTTTCATTTCTTAAAGCAAAACAGTTTTTGTTTGTTTCATAAATGCTGCGGTAAATGCAGCTGATTCAGCTCTGCTCCCTGAGCCCATAGGCATTCTCAGGAGTCAACATGCTGTTTTCTCAGTATCGAATGAGACACGCTCTACTGCTCAGTGCCAGGGCTCTGCCTTGCAGTGTGAAGCCTCAGGTGTCAGGTCTCCTGCAGAGCAAACAGCAGCTCCTCTGCCTGGGGGAAGCAAGCAGGACTTTGTTTCCTGAAACCTTCCAACTCTGAACCTTTTCACTAAGTAAAGGGAACATAATGGTGCCTAACTGGGGTTGGTATTCAGAGCTCAACAGAAACTGAAGACAATTTGCAGGGAATGGGAATGGGAAAAAATTCCGAAACCAAACCTTGTGCATTATAAAATATCTGAACGTAATTCTGTGTGGGTTGTGCTTGTGATCCTTCTCATTATCTGTTTCTGCTTCTGGAGTTTCTTAGATTTGCTTTCTTGTTATATTTTTTTCTTTCCCCTTTCAGTTTAAATTACACAGTTGGTCTGAGGCTATCAATTTTTATCTTCATTGAGGAAGGCGTAGTTTGCATTAATTACCTTGAACTGAAGCTGGGGGACGACTGAGTTTTAACTGTCTTTAGGGTGAAATTGAGATTGAACTGAAGTTCCCTTCAGAGCTGTTCTTAATCCACGTGAAAATGTCAGCTTTTTCCCTTGTGAATGTTTCATGTGTTCCAGAGCTCCCTGTGCTCTGGGGCTCGTAATCTCTGATTTGATTCCTGCCACAGCGCAGTGATTTGAGTGAAAGGAGTTGGTGATTGTTACATGAAGTCTGTACTTGAAGGTATCAAACTCCTGTGTCGTGTGTGTAAATGCTGCCATCCAGCAAAAAGAATGATGGTTGCATTCATCCCATTCATTTTGCTTGGATTTCTTATATGAAATGGGAACAGTGGGACGTTAAATCATTACTCAGTAGGTCTCTCCTTGCATTTTCAGGAAGCAAGAAGAAGGAAAAGGAACGACCAGAAATCTCCCCGCCGTCAGACTTTGAGCACACTATCCATGTTGGCTTTGATGCTGTCACTGGAGAGTTCACTGTAAGTCGCTGACAAATCAGCTGTGGGTCAGTGCTACAGAGAACATTGTGGTGTTTTAGAATGAAGAGTTAATCTCTTTGTTCTTATCAAAGACATAATTAAGCTGTGTATTTATAAAGCACACAGAGTAACGAGACTGTGACCTGTTAGTGTTCCTGCAGTGTCAGTATCACATCCAGGGCTTTGTCACCTGGGAGAGCCTTCCTTAAGAAATGCTGCAGGGAAGGAAACCTCCCTCTTCAATTTGCTTTCCATAGTTTGTAATGCTGGTGCTGTTGAGTGCTTCTGTGTTCCCATTCCTCATGACAAATTGAATATTCCTGGAAGGCACAGTGTTAGGAAGGGCTGGAGCCCCTGAGTGCTTGGGATGCTGAGACATCCGGAGGTATTTCAGCTGTGTTTCGTCTGTTTCATCACCTTTGTAAGTCTCTGTCACATATTTTGGTGTGCTTAAGGCTGTACATGTTATGCTTTTGTTCTGCTTTTTAAATGGCTTTTTATTTCAGGGAATGCCAGAGCAATGGGCTCGGTTGCTACAGACCTCAAATATCACCAAGTTAGAACAGAAGAAAAACCCTCAGGCGGTACTCGATGTGCTGAAATTCTACGACTCCAAAGACACAGCAAAACAGAAATATCTGAGCTTTTCTGCTCCAGGTGAGATGCAAGTATGCACAAAGCATCCTGAAAGGGGAATTGGGAGTTCCTCTTTGTGAACTGCTAATCTGATTCAAATGCTGAAAGAGCAGCCTACTTTTCAGTAAGGAACAAGAAATTTGAAGATGGATTTAACGCTTACTGGAAACTGTCTTTGTCCAGTAAATTTCCCACTTTAAGTGGAAAGGGAAAGAAATGGAACCAGTTAATTCAAAGTAGCAGCCAAACATAAGCACAGCCCATTAAGAAGCTGGGGATCTGTGACTGATCAGCTGGTTTCATAGTGGAGAACTTGCTCCTCTGGTCTGTGATTGAAATGTGTATCTAGATGCTTGTTATCTGTGAACTTGCATGCTCCTTTTACCCACATGATGACACCAAAGATGTAAAATAAGTTACTGCTCTAGGTCAGGAGCTCATGATGGGGCTGGAGAGCAACTGTCCTACAAATGCACACAGTTCCTTTTATGCAGTTCCCTTCCAAAGGACTTGCAGTCAGAAAATAGCTTAGTAATAAGGCTTTGTAATGTCCTCATCCTTGACTCAAGATACAGCTAGTGGAACACATCTCTATTTAATCACTAATTCACATCTCAGTAAGATGGCATGTAAGTAAGGGGCATGTGTGTGTGGGCAGTACTGAGTTTGGAAAACTGTGTACAGGTGAGGTGAAGAGCAAGTGGGGAAACAAATAGTGCTGTCTGCTTTGGAAACTTCCTTCTGCTTGGGGATAGAGTGCAGTACTGCTTTGTCGGATTTTGTTTTCTGAGAAATGAAGAAATCTGAAGTGATCCCTGTTCTTTGTGCAGTTTACTTGTTATGATTTTTTTTTTTTCTGAGGATTTTGTCTTTTTCATTTTTTCCTATCTAGAAAAAGATGGTTTCCCTTCAGGAACACCAACGGTGAGTGAGTTTACTTTACGCTGTGTCGTCTTAAGCGCGTTTATTGCAGGTCTCCTGTTTTTCCTGTGTACCAAATCTTATGTCAGTTGTAATAGGTTGCTTATACCAATCAACCTGTACTTTTCTTTCGACGTGAGTAAGAACAATCTTAGATTTTATAGGAGAACAAACAAACAAACAAAAAAAAAACCCCAAACAAAATACAAATATTTAACGTTGCGAGGAAAACAATTTTGTTTGTATTTGTGTTTTCTTGAACTTTGGGAAAAAAATGCAGACCAATGCCAAAGGTTCAGAGCCATCAACAGCTGTGGCAGATGATGATGATGATGATGAAGAAGCCCCGCCTCCTATTATTGCTCCGCGCCCAGATCACACGAAATCGGTGAGAAGCCATACAACTTATGGTGCTAACCTGCATTTCACAGAACTTTTTGTTGTTTTGATTATCCTGAACTGCCCATCCAGCTTGCTAAGTCTCAGGATTCCCTGATTCGTTTGACCCTGGTAGATGTACATACTGCTATTCTGTTATTTTCACCCCAGGAGCACAAACATGTGAGTTATCTGTACTCATCAGTTGATGCTGATTCTGCTTCACACAGACTGAAATGATATTTCTAAACTTGCAGGATGAGATAAGGCTGCAGTTTGGTATTGCTGCAGTAGTCATTTGCAGCTGTGAACTTGCATTGTTTTTCAAATGTATGGCTATTGAACAGCTCAGAAGGAAACAGAATAAAGCTCTAAGAAAATCCCTGGGACTGGGGACAACTGGGAAATTCCCAGGCATTAATGATGCTTTTCATGCTAAAGCACAGATCTTTGTCTTTTTAGGGGTAGTTGTCCTCACTATCCAGTATTGATTCCTATTCTTTGAAAGGTGAAAATTGCAGCAAGGAAGTAAAAGGAAGGGCCCTTTCAACTATTTAGCTATCATAGGTTGCAAAGAATAAGCAAGTAGAAAACCCCAAAAATGTCTGTCTGTCTGTGGCAGTTAATCTCCAAGCATCTGTTCTAGGCAGAAGGAGCCTGCATCTTTCTTTCAGAGGCCAGTTGGGTTGTCAGCATCTTGTCTTACTGAAATACAGTGCCTAATTTCTGCCTCCAAGCTGTTAAGTAAAGTGGTGCTTAGAGATCTTGGAAAATTTGTGATTGCTTTTAACTGAAGGTCTGTGATTGTAAATGCACAATTTAAATGAGTGAATGTTATCTCCTCAAAACAGATTTATACACGGTCTGTAATTGACCCCATCCCTGCACCAGCTGGTGATGCTTCTGTTGATGGTGGAACGAAGTCAGGTGATAAGCAGAAAAAGAAGACCAAAATGTCAGATGAAGAGATCATGGAGAAACTACGTAGGTGTTTTTCATTTCAGATAAGCAAAGACTTTAGGATTTCTGGGGCAGCAGTCATTAAGCTTTTTCCCTGGACCCTTATTTCTGTGTAGAGTTGTGTGAATACTGTGCTTGGTTGGTGTTGTGTCAGACAGTAGCTGAGAGGAGCTGCATGCAGACGTTTCAGTGCTTTGGAGGTCTGTTGGGTAAAAAGGATTGTAGAACTTTAATTTAAAGGTTGGTTGTAACACTGCTATCAGTGTGCATAGTATATCCATAATACCTCAAAATATTCCTGTTTCTGTTGTAGCTTGTTCCGTAATCTTCTTGAAGATAATTTTTAACCACAGTCATGTTCCTGTGCTTTAGTCAGGAACTGACTGGTTTCTGGAGCAAGCTAACCTAGTGGATTTGTCATAATCTCATGTGGGGTTTTGCTATGTAGAAGACTATTATTACTTGAGATAATGGGAAATAGCATGATCTGTCTTGTTAAGAGTAAAGCCTAGCAGAATGATTGTCTGAAGCTGGGCCTTTCGTGAACTGAACCAGGAGCCTTTGGCTGTTCTGTGCTATTAGTGCTGATCCCCTCTTGGAGGTCTCTTGGCCAAGGCAGTCTTGCTGAAGGGGAGCAGTGGGATTGATGTGTTTTTTACCATGAGCTGGCAGAAATTGGCTGTGCTACAACAGCAGAGAACGTTTCCAAAACCCATGGTAAGATTCTGTGAGGTAATGTTTTTCTTTTTTTTTCTTAGGTACTATTGTGAGCATAGGCGATCCCAAGAAAAAATACACCAGATATGAAAAAATTGGGCAGGGGTAAGTGTTGATCCCAACTTTTATTCCCTGTGAGTTGGTTCTAAAGGCAGTGTGCGCCGTCCTGTCAGCTAGTTGCCACTTTCTGAAGCCCAGCAGAAGCGTTGGCTTTATTAGGCATTGATAAAAAGATGATGAGTGCTTTACAGTGGTGGAGGTTCCGAATTGCAAAAGCATAGCCCTGTGACACCTCTCTGGGTGTATTTAGTCCTCTTCCAGTAAGATGCATTCAACCATTTTGTAATACAACCACTGAGTCTCTTGAGGGTACATTGGTTGGCTTCCTGTGTGCTAAGCTAACAAGGTTACCTTGACCAATTTACTGCTCTGGTGTTCCTGTGTGCAGTGTTCTGAGCAAAAAATATTGAACTCTAGCTTATCCAGCTTTCATTACATGTAGCTGACTCATGCTATATACTTTCCAAATATCTTTGTGTTTGTGGAAGGGTTTCCCCTGGAGGAAGATGAAAAGTAATACATGCTGCAGAAAGGGCTTCTCAGCTTTTCCGCTTGCAGTTAGCAGCACAAATTATAGGGCCTTAGCTGAGTTCAGGAGGCACAGATTGGCTCATAAATGAGAGTACTCCTGATGAATTTGCACCAGCTGACACTTCTGTGATGCTGCTTATTTTTAACACCTACTTTTTTATAAAGCTCTTAAAACTTTGAAGGCTGACACAACTTGGTGTTTGTGATTGTTCAGGTGCATGTAACATTTCTGTTCTTCACAGGGCTTCAGGTACCGTTTTCACAGCTATTGATGTGGCTACTGGGCAGGAGGTAAGATTCCCATGCTTATGGCGTTGAAAGTACTTTTCCTATAAATATGTTCTTTAGTGGCTGAAATAATCTAGCTGGATTTCTTTCAGTGGCTCCAATCTTTGTTATTACCTCCCAAAAGAATGTCATGGTTATTTGTAACAGTGTGTGCCTTGTTTTGTAGTAATCAGATGATGAGAGCTAAAAATAGAGGTGTTCTTTTTTTTCCTTTCCAGTGTAGAGCACAGGGAGTGAGATGTTCCAGATACGTGCTTTGAAAACAGTTTATCTTTCAAATATTGGTGGCAATAATACTCTAGATTTTCAGAAATAAAACATCTGGTCTTTCAATACTTCTCCTCTAGTCCTGTTTTGGTAGAGGTGATTCGATGCACCTTATCTATATGAAAATAGCTTGTCCCCATCTTTTTTCTTTTAATTAAAATGCCCTCTCCACATTCTGCTCTGTTTTCACTGCTTGATGCCTCCAAACTCACGTAGTAAAGATGATGACATCAACAGAATTCTGCATCCTTGTCATTCAGGTGCAGTCTCTTAATTCCCCAGAACTAAAACACTGGGAATTAAATACTTTAGTTTTTCCTTAATCTTCCTTGGAAAGTCTGAAAATAAGAGTTCGTTTTGTTGCTGGTACATAATTGCCCTTTCATCAGTAACCACATCTACCAGTACTGTAGTAGAATATTACATTGTAATAAATGCAAGCCTCTCAGTTTCTTGGTACATTGTCTCTTAATGTGCTTCCTGCACCCTGCAGCACTTCATGTCCTCTTACTGCAGAGTGAAGGTTTGGCCTTACTTCCTTTCTTAGAGCTTCTCTGTGCTGTTAGACAGATGGTTTAAGAATTGATTGCTTGTGTTCTCTGTCTTCATGTGTTAAACTGAGACCATAGTCTGACTTCCTCAGTGCTTAATGGCTGTGGGAGAGAAGGAAGCTCTGAGAGTTCTGTCCAGTGTGAAAAGCTCAAAGAAGGATTTCACTGCTGTTTTCAGTTCCCTAGCAGGGAAAGGTGTAGGAATGAGGAGGATAGATTGCTCTTACAGATGCACAGTGACAAGACAAAAGGTAACACACGCAATACCTTAAAGAATGGTAAAGTTAGATATTAGAAATTTAGGTATTAGAAATTAGAAAAGAGTGACCAGACATGGAACAGGGGCCCAAAGAGCTGGTGGAATCCTTGCTTGTTGAGATCTCCATTCAAAACTCCGCTGGGCAAGGCCTTCAGCAGGCTGCTCACAGTCAGCCACTTCGGGCAGAGGGGTGGCCCTGAGGTGCCTTCCACTCTCAGTCTGTGATTCTGTGCCACGTGCTCTCTTGTTTTGCTGCCTTTGGCTGTATGCAGGGATCGTTTCTGCAAACTGTGTCAGTTATTGGGTTAACAATTCTTTTAAATCTTTCTTAGGAGTCTGGAATACATAATCTAATGAGCTTATTTCTTGGTCAAGAATGTTCTTCCCTTCTCTTTCTGGAATAGGTTATTGTCTTAATTGCTTGGAGACTTTTCTGGGCTTGCTTTCTCTGCAGAGTGGTATGTCTCATGACAGTATTTTCCCTATGACAGTCACTACAGACAACTGATGATTCTCCTTTCCTTGACTACACCAGTACCTGCGTACAGCTTCCTGGAGGTCATTTTGGTTCTCTGATTTTGAGTTCTCTCTCAGGCTAATTCCTTTACTTGTACATGGAGAAACTATTTATCTTGCTGTATATTTGAACATTCTCACTTCCCTGTTTGATAGTTTGCTACATCTTATTTCTTCAGTGCTTTCTCTGTTGAATTGTTCGATTGATCTTTTCTGTCCATAATGATTTTTGCAGCTCCTTCTGTCTTCCAGCATTCTCAGACCCAAACACTAAGCTATTCAGAAGATGAAAAAAAAATATATAATTGCTTGCCTTGCTTTGGGTGACAGCTCTAAGTAGCTACAAGCATCTCTTCTGCTTTAGGCCTGTTATGAATTTAGGCAGCTGTCTTTTTATCTCCTGAAAGTTTCCTTTGCTATCTGTTTTGGCTTTTGCTAGATTGAAGGTTTTGGATTGTTTCAGCTGCTGGAGTAGGGTGTTGGCTATCAGTATGAGTTGTATGCTAATAAAGTTGTACTCTTTCAAGTTGTATGCTAGTGAGAAGTCAGCTTGCCAGCTGCCAAACAAGCTGTGCTGAACTCCCTAATTTTGTTATGGAATCTCTCGCCTCTTCTAAGCTTCTGCTGTATTAAGAATGACTGCAAGGTTTTGATACTCAAGTTTGAGTGATTGCCGTTTCATTTTGTCCTTGTCAGGTTGCTATCAAGCAGATAAACCTGCAGAAACAGCCCAAGAAGGAGTTGATTATTAATGAGATCTTGGTAATGAAGGAGCTAAAGAACCCCAACATAGTCAACTTCCTGGACAGGTAAATGAAGACAGCTGGCTGATCCTACATTCCTAGGGGTTTCAGAAGTTTCAATTTGATATTCTAGTTGTACACCCAGACTTCCTGTTTATCAGGGTATTTAAAAACAAATGAGGCTATATTTATATTGTCATTTAAAAAAAAATGTTTTTAAAGTCATCTGTTATAAGGAGTGCTCTTAATGTTCAGTATGAAGCTTTCTGTCATGAACACAGTGCTGTGTGTAGCTGTGCATCAGTGGTGGACAAGAGTACAGCTGGAAAACACTGTGATGTAGGGTGTTATCCTGCCCATTTAGAAAGCAGAGGGCTTTTATTGCCAGCATAAACATTTCAAGCTACCTGCCAGAGATCAGCTTTCTTTCTATATGCTCTCGAAGTGTTTGTGAATCATTTCCTTGACCAGAAGTCACGGTGCTCTTAGCTGTCATTTTTCAGTTCTCAGTCTCTCCTGATGGCACGTGGGCATGCTATTTGTTTTGTGTTTGCAGTTACCTCGTAGGAGATGAACTGTTTGTGGTGATGGAGTATCTAGCTGGAGGCTCACTAACAGATGTGGTCACAGAAACATGTATGGATGAAGCACAGATTGCTGCTGTTTGCAGAGAAGTGAGTATTGAAATTGAGGAGTGGAGGAATGCAAGTGTGCTCTGCTCACAGAGGTTTTATGGTGCACATACATCACAGGTAATTGCAACAGTTGCTGTTTGATCCATTCAGTTAGGAAGAACAAATGATGCTAAGAGCACGATTCAGTATTAAAATCAGAGAGACACGTGGAAATAACAAAGTGAATCTCACCCAGAAAATTGTGTGTGCAACCTGGAACACAGAAGAATGGCACCAGTTTTGAGCTGGGTGTTTGGGTTAAATACTGGGGCAAACGAAGATGAACTTGATGCAGACTGTCCCTGTCTTGCTTTAGCAGCTGTTTTCATTGCATGGTAAATCTGTAGTTCTGCTTTCTTTGTAGATTTGCTAGGAAAACAATTCTCCAGAAAATTCTAACTGGAGAAATTTTAAGTGTGATTTTGAGAGTTAAAAATGTGTGATGATGGAAAAGTTATCAGTGACTTCTGACCTCAGTCAGAGTGCCAGCATCTAGCTCAGGCTTGACTTATTATGGCAAAGGAAGAAGTAATTGTATTATCTGCTGTGCAGAAGAAGCATAGGCTTTCAAAGCCCCACTTGGCTATGTGAGCATGACATCTGCTTTTGATGATTCATCCAAAGGGAGGGGATGGAAAACAAACTTTACATTACATTAACTTGTATGGACAGGTAATGATTTCCTGAGAAACCAGAGCTGGAAGCAGAGAAAGACTATTTACAGTAATCTTTTCAGAGGTAAAAGTTGAATATTGAGCCGTTGTACTTCATGAGAACCCTGCTGCCCACACTGCCAGATACCTGCCATTCTGTAAATGAATACTGCTTTGCTAAACCAAGCAAAGGTACAAGCTGCCTGCTGGGGATTACAGCTGTGACACAAGTGGCAAATGCAAAATCTTATGCTTATGTTAAAAGAGAATATCTTATACTTTTTTTTTTTTTTGGCCTTTTTTCAAACTGCAGAAGTAAATTTCATTACGTTTCTAAGAAGAAACTGCGTGTGAAAGATTTTAACCTAGAAATGAGCAAAAACAGTATTGATGACATTCATAATTCTCTGTCACAGTGGTTACTTCCACGTTGAGAATGAAGCATTCCTGTTGGTGGAATTTCATGCTGAAGGGCTCTCATTTAGTCTCTTACAGTGCAGTTCCTCCACTTGTGGGAATGTCGTGTAGCAAAGTGAACATCTGTGATGATGATGGTTGGATTTCTGGGTTTGTTAAGATAGCAGAGAAGCTGTGGTTCAGTTATCTTTGACTTCTAGGGATCTTAAGAATATTTAATGAATTTATGTATTTGTTTAGCACAAGAGCTTCCTCTGCTGGTTGTTTTAAATAACGACTTAGAGCATTTTTTCTTCCATGCTGGTTATGAGTTACAGCAGTGTTTTGGGATTGATGTTGAGATACAGAAACTGCATTTCCATATGCTGAATTTTTCTTTTTCTTTTTCTTTTTTTTCCCCTCCCATCCAGTGCTTGCAAGCGCTTGAGTTCCTCCATGCCAACCAGGTCATCCACAGAGATATAAAGAGCGACAACGTGCTGCTAGGGATGGATGGATCAGTTAAACTAAGTGAGTACCAGGCAGTTGTTTCAGTGTTCTGCTTTCACTTTCCCAATAAGCTTTGCATTAGTGAGCCTACATTGGTAGGAAGAGAGCTGACAGGGAAATCTGAGGTGATTTTTTTTTATTGCAGATGAATTATAGTAATTAATTCCTTGTTATAAAGTGTATAACCTGCAGGTAGCTGGTATGGAAGTGCTGAGGGCCCTAATACGTAAGATTCTGAGAGTATTATTCCAAAAGGATGCTGAAGCAAGCCAGTTGTCATGTGAGTCTTTTGGTAAATGAAGTAACTGGCAGCATGCAGTGATGCAAAGCTGGAAATGATTGCAAGAGAAGAGTTGCAAGAAACTGCAGTTACTGTGTTGATCTTTTCAGATTGTCGTGACTTGCCTTTAATGTTTTGCCCTTTTCATTGGAAGGTCACTAACACAAAAGTTGGATATTATTAACAGTTTATATTGCAGTTCAGTCTTAAACTGCAGTTGTACTGGGTGTCCTTTTCTTGGACTGAAAGTGTAATACAATTTCATTAATAAAATCATGAAATGACTAAAGAAACTGCTTACTTTTCAGGTAATTGTCATGCATGCATGAACTTGTCTTTAGTAAGTCAGTTTCTGGTGTGTGTAAATATGGCAGAAAAAAAAGAACGTTGAAACTACATAAAGTGGCTGTCAGGAATGCTGGGAGAGGTGTGTGATCTGACTTCTTGGTATACAGCAATATACACAGCATTAAGCAACCAAAAACTTAAGGGATGTGTTTGAGTAAGAATTTGCAATGCCATAAAAACACATCTCAGCAGTATTCCTTACTCACATGGTTTGCAGTCTCTTGTTGGTCGTGAGATGGAGTGTGAAGAAAGATTACGAGCAGCCTGGCTTGCTTAGCAGTGTTGTTGGATGCTCCGCTCTCTTGTGTAGGAGTTTGTTTGTTTGTTTAAAGGAGTTGTGTGTTTGTGAACAAACAGAATGGATTCAGAAACCAAAGTGAATGATTACAGTAGAGTCACCTGGAGAAGGTTCAAAAATAAGAGCTGTCAATGCAAAGAAGTGTGGTGAGAGGACAGGGCAGCAGCCTGTGGGGAAAAGCGCTGCCTCCGAGAGGCTGTGCAGAGATGATGGAGGGAGAGAAAGCAGGAGTTGGCTCTGAAAATGTGCTGGGTAAAGGGGAGGTTCTGTAGCTGTGTTAAGGCTAGCCCTCTGGCTGTGTTTATAGAGCTTCTACCAGCAGTCTAGGTGGAGGGTGGAAGCTGCATCTACTTCAAGCTCTTCCCTTTCTGGAGGAATCTGCGGCAGGAAAAGACGCCGGTCTGCCTGCCTACTGCCCGAGTCTCAAAAGGGGTGTCAAGCAGTTAGATGATGATGAGAGAACATCTTGTGGAAGGAAGCAGCAGCCAGTGGCAGCTTTAAAGACACATGCCCTGCCCAGAAAAGGGGCTGCTGTAAAGCTGCCCTCACTATTAATGCCTGCACCTACTTACTGGCTAAACTGGGATCTACACCTTGCCTGTCTTTCCTATCCTGGCTGGTGGGATGGTGCTGTAGGCCCTGCTGGTAGCAGGAGGCACACACTGCTGCTGCTTCTCTGGTGTGTTTGTTGAAGTAGGCTGTGTGTTGAATTGGGCATGATACCTGCCAACAGGCCTGACTGAAAGAAATGCTGGTGAGGAACTCAGTAGCTTCTATAGGGTTGTTTTTTCTTTTTTTGTTTTTCCTTTTCCAGGCAGCACTTTGACAGTGGGGGTGGGATAGTTCTTAATTAAACTGTCCTCTTAGTACAACTTAGCATTTTGAGAACTGTGGCTCTTTTGTTGGTACTGCTTGGCATAACACTTCAAAATTGATTCAAAATTTAAAATTCTCTCTCTTTCTCTCTCTCTCTCTTAAACTTAGTGTCAATAATAAAGTAAAATCTTCTTCCTGCCTTAACTGTGTTCTTATTGATGCTTTACATGCCTGGGAAGTGGGAGTGCTGCAGCTGGATAAAGTAACATGATGGAACATGCATTGCTGCTGCACCTGAAGGCTATAGGAATAGGTGACTTTTCTTGTTTTCTTGAGTGTGGTTGTTCTCTTCAAGTAGTTACCTTGTGGAAAGGTTTGCTTGTCCAGGCTCCTTCCTCTGAGTTTCCATGTCTCTGTCAGCTGTAGTGCCTGTATTTGATGGCCAAATTGCTGTGAAACGCTGAACTCAGTAGCTGCAGAAATGACATCTGTTTAGCAGGGCAGAATCCATGGTTTGTAGATTGATTCTTTTTTTTTAGCTCGGGCAGTGTATTCCATGCACAGAAGAGTTGCCTTTGCTGTTCTGCTTCGTTTCTTTTGGCTGGTACCAGTCTAGGAACTGAAGGAAGGACTGGGCAAAATACCATTCTCGTACAGGATAATACTGATGTCCCTTTTTGAGAGGACAGAAAGCTTTACCTTTTTCCCACATAAGTCTGCCCTGCTTAAACATCTTAAGGTTTTATGTGTGTTTTGCACATTGTAGTTTGTAATGTGGAGAATATGGTGGGGAGAAAAAATGTTCCCCCTCCATCAGAAGCCCCTCGAGTGTGGAGGAGTAACGTATGTGTGTAGTAATAGAGAAGACTAAGAAGTCCATTTCCATGGATGCACCAAGGTAACTTCTTTAAATTCTGTTATCCTACAGCCGACTTTGGTTTCTGTGCTCAGATCACCCCAGAGCAGAGCAAGCGCAGCACTATGGTTGGAACTCCTTACTGGATGGCTCCTGAAGTCGTCACACGGAAAGCCTATGGCCCTAAAGTGGATATCTGGTCCCTAGGCATCATGGCTATTGAGATGGTGGAAGGAGAACCCCCGTACCTCAATGAAAACCCCCTGAGGGTAAGAAATACAGACATGGCTAGGACCGTTTGTGAGCATTTATCAGGTGAATCTCAGCAGGCTCAGTGTGATTCTTGATAGCGTCTTACCTTACCTTAAAAAGTAAAGCCCACAGACAGCGAGCTTCAGTAGTGCAAGGAAATTCCATCCAACGGATGACTGCTGTCTTGAATTTGTGTTCTATTCAGAATATAAGTGCAGATTGTATCTTCTTGTAACTGAAACCTTGGACTTGGAATTCAGCCTTCTGCCTTAGTTTAGGAAAGGTAAATCCATTAGGATATGAAACATGCTGCTTTGTCAGTCTGATACTTTCTTCTGGAAGATATACAGACGTATCTCTTGAATAACTTGCCAAAAGATTTAGAAAGCTATTTTACTACTAGCAAGAACAAATTGCAACTTGCTGTAAGTGACATTCTTAAAATGTTTCATCCCATTGGGATAGACTGCAGACTCATCTAGACTGAGATATTGTCTCTAGGTCAGTCGGTTGTTAACTTTTAAAGGCTTGAGCTGGCTGTACAACATTCCTCGTTTTACAGGCGTTATATTTGATAGCAACTAATGGCACACCAGAGCTTCAGAACCCTGAGAAACTGTCCCCAATATTCCGGGATTTCTTAAACCGATGTTTGGAGATGGATGTCGAGAAAAGAGGATCAGCCAAAGAATTGCTACAGGTAAGAGTCAGCTTCTCTCAGAGTCTGAGGTACAGAGGCCACTTTTAAGGTAAGCGTGTGTTAAAAGGCACTGCAGACAAACACTGCCTTCTGTCTTGTGTCTTCCTCTGAGCAGAGGGGGAAGGACTTCAGGGGGCAGTAGGTCGGGAGGAACCACCGTCGTCAGAGGTTGTACTGGCTGTTCTGAAGTCACACTATCTAATGATTAGTGATTCACTGTAATAGAGCCTTTAAAGTGAGCAGAATAGGACTGAGAGAAGGAATTTGAGCAGGAAGCCTTACTGGAAAGCAAAAGGCTGAGACTGCTTTGGGAAGAGGAGGGATGATTAAATGCAGGCTATGAGTGCTACGAGCCACTCGGTCTGTTCCTTTAGAAGCACTGGTAATATTTGCACTGCTTTCTGTACCTCAGGGTGGAAAGAGCTGTATGAATGCGTGCCTTACGCTGGCTTTTAAACTGTCTTTCACTGATTTACTGTGCTTCTTTCTTCCTGGCAGCATCCCTTCTTGAAACTGGCCAAACCTCTGTCTAGCTTGACGCCACTGATCCTGGCAGCCAAAGAAGCAATGAAGAGTAACCGCTAACGTTATTGCCGTGGCCTACGTTTGGTTTTGTTTTGTTTTGTTTTTACAAATCTTTTTAATATATGAAATTGTTACACTTCTGGTGGGAGGGAAGAGGTTTGCGGGTGGGATGGGGCGGGGGGAACATCTGCAAAAGGGAAGCAACTCTCATCCAGAAGACACCTGGCATAAATTGTGGTGAATCTAGTGATCCCTTTCTGGGGTCCAGAAGGAATTGAGGACTGAATTACTGGCTTTTTTTTTTTTTTTTTTACCCTTTTTCTCCTATATTTTTTTTTCTCCAGACAGCCCAGAAATGCCACTTAGCATGCCCAGGGTTTTAAGGGCTTTAATGACTTTACTGTAACAACTCCCATTCATTGTACCCTTGTGGGTGCTTTTAGTACTTGAATGACCGATTCAAGCTTTCAGAGAGCAGCACTAATGTTACCAGCTGATCTCTTTCATTCTCCTCTTCCTCCTCTCTACCTGTAAATTGCTCTGGTAAGCTCCCAAATGACAAGATTCACATCATGTGACTGATGTGAAGGTACATCTTGCCCCTTCTTCCTTATACAACTGTCACTCAACTGTTTAATTAATAGTGGAGCTGCTCAAGAAATCACAACATGAGATATATTTTGCTTTTTGAGACGTGTGGAGAGAGGGGGAAGAGAAGTATCCAGATGCTTTCCATGTGCCTGTGCTCTGTGGACTATTAATCGAAGATGTGGCTACTTTGTAGAAACCTCATGATTGGTCAAGTCTTTGGATTTCAGATTATGGATATGTAGGTAAGGGTCAGATAGTTTATTTATGATCAAATGATCAGCTATAGTCAGGGCAAGAAAACAATTCCAGCTGTCTTCCTGTGTGTTCTTTTTCCCATTAGACTTGCTGGCCAGAAGCTTAAGGGGTATTTTGCTTGGTGTGGTGGGTGGTTCAAAAACATGTATTGCATCTGTGCTCTGACTTGGGCTTTGGAAGTTATGCTGGTGCCTTTGACTTTTTACTTTACATTTTCTTTCTTGTATCAAATACATTTTTGTATATGTTGTAATTTTTTCCCCCAAGCAAGTAATGCATCAAAGTATGGAGTTGTCAGAATTTAAGTATTAGAGCTATTTTTTTCCAGTTTTGTATGTGCTCTGTTTGTATTAACAAAATGAAAACAAGTCATCAGATCTGAGGACACTGAAGATGCAGGTTTTCTCAAACAGAAGATTACAAACACCTGGAAATGCCAAAATGCTGTTCTGAGAAGACGGAGGCTGAGACAAGAGAGCAGTGCCTTCAGACATCCACAGGGCTTATTTAGCTGGCTGGTTTGAAGCTGAAGAGACTTGGTGCATCATCACACTGACCCTTTCTCAATGCAAGAAAAAGTGCCTCCCTTTGAGGGACAGTGAGCGCCTTCAGTGACTGATTTCTTGGTGTGTTAATGGGGCAAGTGTAAAAGAGCCTGTGCCCCCAGCTTCTTTTAGTGCTACAGTCTATGCATTTCAACTTCCCAAACAGTTTAATGAAGAACTAACTGTAGTTACAACGTGCCAAATGATTCTGTGAATGAGTAACTGTTACTTTACTGGGATTTTATCACTTTTGCAGTGGGCAGGACCTGGGATGGATAGGGTTATTGCTGGGTATTAACAGAGGACCCTGAGTAAAATTTGTACACACCTTTACAAGCGTTGCTGGCAGGAGCTAGAAGTCATTTTCAGATAATTTTGTACACAGAGAGAGAAAAAATTAAGGCTTGGGGACTGTAGCCAAGGTATGAGGAAACTCAGAGCTGAGAGCAGCCAGCCAGAACTGCTGAGCCTGTGTCTGTTGGTGAGGGAAGGTGAGCAGGACTACGGTCCCAAAATGTTGGCAGTGACTCACCAGCTTCTAGGAGATGGCTTTGTGCCACCCAGGTGCCTTACTGTGCAGGGATCTGCAGTGCCACCACTCAGTTTATCTTCTGCTCTTTCGTGGTAGGAACCCAAGTACGTTACGGTAACTGCGCCGCCGGAGGACAAAATCCCTCTAGTTGTATGGGCGAGAATAGCTGTGGTTTTAAGTTCCAGATAGTGTCTTATTCCAGGCAGGTAAATCTGGGTGCATTTCCCAGGCAAAACGTGTCGCAGGCCGTGGTCGCTGTAAACACTAGAATGGCATTGCTCTTGGTTTGAATGCGTCTGGCTTCCTGATCGGTGAAGTAGCAAGGAAGCTTGGCTAAGGAAAAAACCTGTCTTATTGATGATTCCCTCTTTGTCCATTGCTGGCAATGGACTTTGTGAAACTCCTTGTGCCAGAGTTAAGGTGGGAGCTTTTCTTTCTTTCTTTTTTCTTCTTTTTTTTTTGTTTTTAATCTTTTTTTTCTTTGATGGCACAGTCTAGACAGTAAGATAAGTATAACTTGTGATAAATCTAGAATTTTTTAAATAGAAAAAAAAAAAACGTGAGATCATAAGTAATTTTAACTTATTAGTTCACTTTTATTGATGAATGAGAACGGTTTTAAACTTGTATTATGAAAATTGTCCAATTTAGTCTACTTAGGAGGTGGTTTCCAAGCTTACAGTCATCCTAGCAAACAAGACTTAGCCCGGCCCCAGAGTTACAAAACATATCTTGATGCTTGCTGGAATGGTGTTAGCTCTGAGTTGAGGAGTGCTGCAAGGTGGGGTCAGAGATGAGCCGGGAGAAGGGGAGAGCCATGAGGGGGTTGCTGTGCTCTGCTTTTGTGTGTCTGGGGGTTTCTCTGCCAGTGTCAGCTGCGTGTCTGCGAAACAAGGATGCGAGCCGTGCTTTTTTCCCCTGAATGGAGACGAGCATTTGTAAGACTTGCTGCTGCTCCACTTGGCTAACGTAGACAAACAGAACAGCCAGAGTTGGAGTAGATGCTGAAAAGGAAGAGTTTGCTTTAGGAAGCGCTGGGGTTCCCACATGCCTCGCTCTCTTGGGTGCAGTGCAGCAGCCCAGGTTGGCCTGTCGATGCAGCGCGTGTGCCACGTGTGTGGGAGGCCCTGTGGTGGGGTGACTCGCTGGGCAGCTCGAGGCTGGGATGCACGTGTGCAGGAAATGTGCAACTCTTGGGATCTCTGTTACCGTGGAACAAAGCGGGTTGCTCGTGGGAAGCAGCCGTGGTGCTGGGAGCGCTCTGACGTGAGGCAGCTCCTGTGGTGGAGGGTGGCTGGGGGAGCCAGAAGGCTGATCAAGTCTCTCCAGCTGGTGTTAAATACGCGTCTCTGGTCCGTTTTCCCTCTGTCCCTCACGCTATCAGTGGAAATGGAAGTGGGTGCAAGCTTTCTCTTTATTTTTTTAACTGTCTTCAGATTTTAATGTTGCCTTTTGTGTAATTTAATCCCATTATGTTATTTAATTGTTACTGCAATATTAACTACTGTATTTGTTGACTTTGTTTAATAACTGTTCTTTCAGGGCTAGAAATAAACTTCTAAAAAAAAAATAAATCTTTTTCCTCCCTTTCCCTGTGCCTTCTAAGACAAGAATAGCTGGAAAAAGTAAATGTTTGGAGGTCTTTAATGAGATTAGCAGAATGTGTTGGTTTGTAATTGAGCTTTAATGGTGGTGGATGTAATTTTATGCTATAGTAGCCTGTTCTGTTTCTTTTTCAATGTTATTACTCAGCAGCTTCACATGCACCTGTCCCTGCATGCTGCACCTCCTGCTCCATGCTCTGGAGTAGCGTATGGGAGAGAGGAGCTCTTCATCCATCACTGAAGAGAGGTCCTGTGCTCTGTTTGCAAGTGGAGCAAAGCAGCAGCCTAGCTGGTCATCACTGCATCTTCCACTGTTGCTCACACTTGTGGTTGGAATCATGAAAATGCAGGCCAGTTAAAGAAGAGGACATGGAAATGAGCTTCTCTTGGGCTTAGGATTGGTTCAGTTGAAAGCTGGATGATGTTTCTGGCTTGGCTGTGGATTTCAAAGTACCACACTGTGCATTTCCCGTGTGTTGTTGGGAAACCACCTTGTTCCCTTTCTGACATGTTATGTGAACCTTGCTCATACTGTTGACAGAGGAAAGTGAAGAAACAGTCTGACTTTGGAAATGTTTTCAGCCAGACGTAAGAAATGCTCTTAGCTGATGTTAGCATTGATTTATGGTGGAAACACCTGACAGGAGGAGAGAAGGTGCTTTGCAGAACTGATTCAGCTGGATATTGGCACTTAAGTTGCTTGGAGGTGAGCAGGATTTTGGCTTGGTTTTGGTTTGCACAGGTTGAAACTTCCTTATCCCTGCTTGATAAATCCAAGTGAGGATTGTAAGAACTTGTTTTTCACTTTCTTACACTAAAAGCAGCAACCACCCATTGTTTGGTCATCAGTTCTTTACCTGTTGGATATTTTAATTGCTGTGCATCAGGTTAAAGCTGCAAAGTTGGGGAAGATGTCTTGCAGTTCAGTTGCAATGGATTAAAGCACAGAGCTGAGCACAGTTCTTTGAGCCGCGCCAGCAGCATGCTTGTTAAACACAGGATGGCTGAAAAACAAGCTTCACTCCCAGTGGGAGTTTCCTGCAGTGCCGTGAGGAGCAGCGCTGGGTTTTGCTGTGCTTCGTGGGACTGGTGGACAAGCACAGCGCTCTGCATGCTCCCAGCAACCTGCACTGCTGCATTTCTCCTTGTTTTGCAACCTGCACTTTGCTATGAAGATGGTTTGTAGTGAAAATAACCGTCCCAGCAGTATCTTGCAGACCTCAGTCGTGTGGGAACGGGATGTGAGATGCAAGCTCAGCTAAACTATTGGCTGTGCAGAGGAGGAGGGTTTCCTGAAGATCTCCCCTTGCTTTGAACTATATGGAAACTTCTCAAACAAGTAACAACAGTGAATTTTCTCCTTACAGTCTGTGGCAAGGGAGAAGAGCAGCAGAGATAGAGCTTCTCATGCTGTTGTTCTCCCACTGTAGTGGTGGCATTGCTTTTTCCCTTTCCTACCTACCTGTTGGTGCCTGCAGGGAGAACATCTTCCAGCACATCGTAACTGCATTTCAATTGATTGTATTGATCTGATTACTGAAACAGGCTGGACTTAATGAGAAAATTAATCGTTAAGATAGGAAAAGTCAGGTCTAACCAAGTGATGTGGAGATGCATCAAGTGAGTAGGAGGCAGGATGGGACTGGAGGAGCAGAAGCAGTGCAACTCAGTGCCCAGCGTTGAGATCCTGGTGCTTTCTGAACAGCTCGAGAGCAATGAATCCAGCTTGCTACAACAGCACAGCAAAAGAGAAGATGCTGATGTGACATGGCAGCATGATGGCACCGTGATGCCCAGCTGCTCTCAAGGCTGAGTTAAGCATTGCACAGTTGCAGGATATGCCACAGCCATAGTTACAGATGGTGGATGGGAAATTGGGTTTGGATATCTTGAGCGGTTCTTACAATGCTAGGATTTTCACTGAGCAAAAAAAAAGTTATGAGTCTTTTGAAGCATGTTTTACCTTTCTGTATTTGGGCAGGGTGTGCTCATATTAGGCCAGAGGTGCACACTTGTGTTCTGTTGGGAGACATAGGTTAAATACTGAATGGTGATGTGTTTTGAGGCAGGGTGGCTGCAGCCTAACAGTTTTGGATAGGAGGGTTTGGAGGAGAAGTTGCTGACGGTGGCTTGGGCTTCCCAAGGTTCCCAATGCAAGCACCGTGTGCTGCCCTTACCAGGAAGCTTCCCAAAACCACCACTGGGTGAGCACCTGGGGGAATGAACGTCCTGAGGAAGGAAAGCAGCATTGGTTCTCATCATACAGGGTCGCTTACCCCTGTGGTGAGGAGTGAGCTGCTGTTCCCACTGTCAGGATGGGAAATGTGGGCAGAACCCAAGAAGCACTGCCGTTATCTGGTGGTGACAGCAGTTCTGTCAATGCAGCTGGGAGAGATCCCATCCAGCAGAAATGTCCCTGCCACTAAAACCCACCTGTGGGCGCACACTGAGTGCAGCCAGTGCCAGTAGCACACACTGTGAGGTCCCAATGGGAACAAAACAGTATGCCAGCCAGGCTCTCGTGTTGGCTGAAGGAAGGCTCTGCTGAGCCCCCAGGCACCCTAAATAGAGGTGCAGGGAAACCATGGAGTCAGCTTTGCTCCAGTTCTTGTTAAAAATACAGAGCTGGGGAACAAAGGATTTTTTTCTTTTTTGGAAGAGACCTGAAGAAATAGCCTGGAAGAAGGGAGCAGGGATGTGTGCTGGCACCCTCAAATAGCTGAGCTGCAGCCCAGTGCTTGGTAAATGGCACAGCAGCAGGCAGAGCTGGGTGCTGGAGCAGGAAGCAAGGATGGCAAGCAACGTTTTGAAAGACCGGAGCAGCTTTGGGCAGCACTTGTCCCTATGCCTCCTGCAGCTCACACGTGTGGCGTTTCCCAAAGCCTCCTGGCCGCTGGGCAGGTGCCACGTTTGCTTTTGCACGACCTTATAAAACAGAGGCTTGGAGGCTTTTCTGCTTCTCCCCGGGGGCTGAAAGCTGCGTGGCTCTGCCTCTCCCTCGTGCACCTTTCGCTATGGCCGGCCTGAACGTTTCCATTGCCTTTTTCTTCCTGGTGCTTGGCACGTGTGAGGCGCTCAGGCGGCTCTCCAAGAGGCTGCTGGCCCCGGGGCTGTTGGGGAGCCTGGCTGCAGAGCTGGCTGGCTCACTACAGCTGTGCTCGGGCTGCCTGGAGCTGAGGATGCTGATGGAGATCGGCCCGTGGGGCGGCCTCGGCCCCGACGTGGTCCTGACTCTGCTCTTCCTCCTCTTTGCGGTTCACACCGCCGGCGCGAATGGAGCAGCTGCCAACCCCACCATCTCTCTCCAGGAGTTCCTTCTCTTCGAACACGGCTCCGTGGCTACTGTGGCCAAACTACTGGCCCAATGTGCGGGTGCAGGGATGGGCTGGGCCCTCACCAAGCTCTACTGGTCCTGGGAGCTGACGCAGCTCCACCTCTTCCAGAACATCATGGCTTCTGAGTGCAGCTCCTCCATCCACACGTCCCCCCACCTTGGAGCTCTGGTGGAGGCCGCCTGCTCCTTCTTCTTCCACCTCATCCTCCTCAGGACGCGCCGCAGCCCTGCTGTGTGCCAAGTGCCTGTCCTGGCAGCCACTGTCACCTTCCTGACCTACGTAGGTGAGTGCACCCCTTCCTTCCCCTGCAGCCTGGTTTATGGGGAGGAGCAGCCCCTCTTCCCTCCTGCAGGGCTCAAGCTGAGAGGGGATGACTGCTGCAACGTTTGTTTTCTACTTACTTTGTCATCTGGGCAGCAGGTGGTGTGTTGGCACATGGCAGGATGCTGACAGCCCTGCTTTCCTCCCCATGCAGCCGCACCGGCCACGGGAGCCTTCTTCAACCCTGCCCTGGCCACTGCCACCACCTTCCTGTGCGCGGGGAGCAGCCTGAGGGACTACATCCAGGTGTACTGGCTGGGGCCCCTTACAGGTGAGCTGTGTCAGGAGTGGGTCCCACTGTCCAAATGCTTCCCAGCAAAGAGCTGACAGCCCTTCTGGGTCACTGTAAGCCTCATGTAGTGAGGGTGCATGCACACGAGAAGGGACGCTCTCGTTTCAGGGATGCTCGCCGCCCTCTTGCTCTACCAAGGCAACATCCCAAGGTTCTTCCAAAAAAACCTGCTGTATGGCCAGAAGAGCAAATACAAGATACCCAAGGCCAGGGTGACGCATGCAGAAGATGGAGAGCAGCGGCAGACGGGGAAAGGAGAGAAGAGCAACCCAACGCCTCGTGCCTGAGCACCTTCTGCTGGGAGCAGTTCTGGCATGGAGCATTTTGTACACCCTAAAAGCCTACAATGCCAGTCGTGGGGGGGAAACTAATGTGTTTGCAGAAATTACTGGTTGTCTGGTGTACGCAGGAAGCTTGCAGAAACTCAGGACCATTGCGTGGGCATGCTTGGGCAACTCCCAGGTGGTTGCATCATGCCGTGGTTGAAATAATCCGTGTGCGCCTCTTACAGCCATAAAAACAGTGTAATAAGTCTTGGAGAGTTGGGATGAGGAGGAAACTATCTGTAATGTTTGGCATTATTTGAGCTCAACCGAGGTCCCTGAATCGCACAGCTCAGGGACATGTCTTTAAAATAGTCTGAAATTCACAGCAGCAGGGCACAGCACGCCCTGCTCCCCCAGTGTGATTCTTAGCCTGTGTTTTGCATGCAGCTGGGGAGCTGCAAGGTGACAATAATGGGTTCATAAAGCATCTTTGGTTAAAATATGTGGCTCTGGTATGCGGTGCAGGTGGGTGTTTGCATGCAGACCCCCCCCAGTCCCAGCCCTGGGCTGCTCTCTGTGGCTATGTGAAATGTCTCTGCTAACACAGTGCTCTGTGAAATAAAAGTTACAGTTGGCACTAAGGCAGGTGGTGTCACTCCTCCAGAAATTGAAGAAATCTGCTTGGGGAAAAGGGAGGGAGATTTTTTCCTTTCCCAGCATCTCTGGAAGTGGAATTCCTGGTGACCTTCATGGGAGCCCAAGCATGGGCTGAAGGAGACCGGCTCCTTCCTTCAGCAGGAGGCAGGATCCAGCCCTGATTAGCTGAGGGGCAATCAGAGTAATGAAGCGGCACCCAGCTGCAGTGATAGTGACAGATGTGGGTTTGGTACCCAGATGTGCGTTGTGCCCTCCCTTACTGTCCTGCTGGACACAGAGACCCTCAAGCTTCCCTGTCCAATCGGTTGTGGGGAACTCAGATCCTCCACCTGTTTTTTTTCTGAGCAACTTTTGGTTTGGAAATCGTGCAGAAAATGGGGCAGTTTCAGGATCTCTCCATTTTGATCAAGATGAAAAATCCTGATTTGTACTGAGGTTATTTCAGATCTAAGCTATGGAGCCTAGAGCAAAGACACCGAGGCTCTGGGTAAGCGTTTAGGGATGGGGTTCATTTATCGTCTGAACTGATTTGCTGGTCCTGCTTTTTCCTTGAATGCCTCACCATGACTGATGCTTGTATTTTTTTCCCTGGGCAGACATGAAGCACTCCTAGAGCTGCTCCAAGCAGAGGGCTGGGATGTCTGGCTCATGCAACCCTTTTGTTTTTCCCACGGAGGTGTCTTTTTGTTGGGCTGCTGAGATCATCAACCATAATGAAGGGGAGTTTAATAGGAGTGACAGTGAACACTGTTGTTTTTAATTAAGAGGTTGCTCCCCCAGCATTGAGGCACGGTGGAGGAGAGATGCAGCTGGACAGACGGAAGCATTCCCGAGGTGTAAATGAAGCCCTGATGGACAGCCTGGCCCCTTCACCACCTCCAGCTGCAGCCTGTTTTGCCTCCTGGCATCGTGACGGCTTAGTGTCCCATTTCTGCTGAGTCCTCTCACTGTGAGACAAGCAGCCTCAGTGCTGCCATCCTCATTCTCTGCATCCCCTCCTCCTCCTATGGAGGCTGGGGTTCATCCTTGCTGGCTCAGGAATGACCTCAGAGGAGTCCAAGTGAGGTAAGTCCTTAGGCCCCCCATGGGGCCTGTTCTAGGGGCTCTGCAGACCTCATATCCCACCTGAGCTGCGCCATGGCAGCAGTGACCCCAGAGCCCAGGGGTGGATGGTTGGCCGGCCTCAGCTGAGGGAGCTGGAGAACGAGGCCGGGACGGGGGCTCAGTGCCGGGTGCCCTCCAGCCTGTACCGCACGGCTTTACCCTGCTGCATGCCCTGCAGCGAGGGAGCGAGCTGAGGGGGCTTCTGGAGGGGTCTTTGGGGGGTATTCTGTGGGGGATTTGGGGGAAACTGCTTCTTGTAGAGAGCAGTGCTGTACTGCAGCTCTGGGGTCACCAGGCGCCGGCACATGCGCTCCGTCGCCTCGTCCAAGCCCTGCTTGAGGTTATAGCCCAAGATCCTGGCGTTGCCATACTGCAGCGGCCTCAGGGAGGAGTCCTTGATGTCCTTTGGGCCCACGCTGCCCGTCCCTTGCAGGCAGGTCCTCGCCAGCTCCGCTTGCCTCTGTCGCAGCGCCCTGACCTCGCGCCACATGCGCTCCCTCCCGATGTCCCGCTCGATCCTCTCCCAAAAGGTCCTATTGAAGTGGGTGTAGATTTCCCAGTCCAGCCTGTTCCAGGCCTTTATCTTCTCAGCTGTGACGCTAGAGAGCGGGGACCTGGTGCTGCTGTCCCTGCTGTTGAGTGGGAAGGACACGACGCTGTCCAGGTCCCAGCACAGCGTCTCCTTCAGCAGCACCATGGACTCGTCGAAGTACTCTGAGATGAGCAGCAAGTCAAAGGACGCCTCGATGGCTCTCAGCATTAAGTTCACCCTCTTGGCCGTGACCTCCGCGTCGGGGTTGAAGCCGAAGTCGAAGGTCATGAGGTTCCTGGCGTAATGGCTGTCACCGGCCTTGGGGTCGTAGAAGCGGTAGGGCTGGCTGAGGAACTCCTCCAGGCTGCGGGCGCGGGAGAAGGCTGACGTGCCCTTGTAGTACACGAAGGAGGACTCCATGAGCTGCACGGGGTTCCTCAGGATGGAGAAGTAGACGGCTGTGCTGGGCACCACTTTCTGTACCTGCAGAGAGAGAAAAAAAATGGAGTTTTAAAGGTGGGGAAGGGTAAAGGGACCTGCTTGCTGGAAAAGCAGAAAGGGTTTCATCAAGTTTGTCTGCAGAAGCCCTCAGGAGATGCACGAGGAGGGCCATGAAGATGCTCAGAGGGCTGGAGCACCTCCCCCACAAAGACAAGCTGAGGGAGGTGGGCTTCTTCAGACTGGAGAAGAGAAGGCTGCAGGGAGACCTTGTTATGGTCTTCCATCGTTCCAAGGGAGATTGTGAACAGGAGAAAAATCAACTCTTTGCATGGGTAGATAATGAAGAACAGGAGGAAATGATTGTAAACTAAAGGAGGGGAGATTTAGATTAGATATCAGGGGAAGGTTTTTCCCTGAGAGAGTGGTGAGGCCCTGGCACAGTCTGCCCAGGGAAGCTTTGATGCCCCATCCCTGGAGGTGTTCAGTACCAAGTTGGATGAGGCCATAAGGAACCCGATCTAGTGCTCGACCTAGCAGTTGGTGACTCAGCCTGTGGCAGGGGATTGGAACTAGATGATCTTTGAGGTCCCTTCCAACTCAAGCTGTTCTACAATTCTGTGATCTTTGAATGCCTCCATGCTTTCCTGGTACCCCACCTTGCTCCTGCCCCACACCCAAGGCCCAGAAGCTGTGCCCCTTACCTCGGGCCGCAGGAAGCGCATGTGGTGGCACAGTATGTTGAACTGGGGAGGCTTCCTAGGGGAGAAGCCCTGCACGAACCTCGCCATGAAGTGGCGTGGGTAGAAGAGCTGGTGGCCGCCCCTGAGTGGGAAGGCAAAGGTGAGGTTGTGCATCTCACCAAAGCGGAAGAGGATGTTCATGACGGTGCTGCTGGCGCTCTTGTGGACCTTCAGGAAAACAATGTTGGTCTTGGGTTTGCACACTTTCTGAAAGAAGGCGTCTTCTACCTGCCCACCATCCCCCAGGGCCATCACATCTGTAGAGATTTCTGTCCAGCTCGGGAGCAGTCCTCCTTCCAGCTCTGTCCTGTAGAAGTCATCTGCCCTCAGGAGCTGGGCTGTATCGAGCACGGGGTGTTTGACTGAGTCACCCCAAGGTTGGGGTGGAGAACCCATGGCTTGATGCTGAGGTGGGCTCTGCAACGTCACCCGCATCATCTGGGGTGATGTTATTTTCTTGTGCTCCTCTGCAGCAATGCTGTTTGTGAAGAGGACATCAGTATCTCCTAGAGCTGTGGTGGCACTTTCAGGAACATCTGGAAATATATCCCCTGTGCTTGCTTTTCTGGGGCTGGAGAGTTGGGATTTCAGCTGCGGGGCCGAAAGATGGGCTTTCATCTTGCTGCTCTCTGCAGGCTGCCAAGCCCAGTGAACCTCTTGTCTGTCTGGGTTGCTCTTCTGTGGTGTCACCCGTCTGTAGTAAAGGTGCATCTGGAAACCACGCTGTGTGTTCTCAGAGGGCTGCCTGTGCGGGTGATCATCCTCCCTTGGCATGCCGTGGCTCTGGAGCACATAGTCAGGGCTCTCCTGCCTGTGGTCTGTGGTCTGCTGCAGGGCGCGCTCCAGCTCACAGTGACAGTTCCTGCAAAAGGGTGAAGATGAACCGGCAGCAGGAGGTATGGGATCCCTGCTAGGAGCACTGAGTGTGCTGTTGGGCTGAGCTGGGGCAATGGCCAGGTTGCTCTAACTGTTTTCTGCTGTCTGGGAATCGCCCTGCCCTCCACTGTTCTCCACAAGTGTATGGGGAGCTTCTCCTGCCCGCTGCAGGAAGAGTAGCCACCAGTCCTATGGGAGTGGGGCTGGTAATCAACTCAAAGGAGCAGGGGAGGGAGGGAGGGAGCATGCAAGGAGGGCAGCTCCTCTGCAGCTGTCCCAGAGCAATGCTCCTCTTTCTCTATTTGGGGTGGGCAGCACTGCTGCTGGACGTAGAGCTTAATCATGTGGCACGACCAGCCTGGCAGGTCGGGGTGGATGCAGGATGTGAAGGTCTTTCAACATCAACATTGCCATGCCCTGCTGCACTGCAGGGAAGGAGCAAAGCCTGCATCCTGCAAAGTTCTGAGGCCAGACAAGACAAAGCCTGGAGCAGCCTTGTTTGACCTCAGATGTTCTGAGCAGGATGCAGGGGTTGGATGAGAGAGCCCCAGTGGAGTTGTTTCCCACCCAGATTTTCCTGTGCTCTTGGTTGGGTGTGTTTTAACCCCTATCAGTCACTGGTGAAGGGCTGGAGGATGAGGTGCAGGTTTGCCCTTCTATCTGGGACATACCTGGTAGGCTGCAGCTTCTCCACAACTTGAAACGAGACCATGAGGAGGATGAGGAGGCTGAAGGAGACCCAGAGCCGACCTGGCTGGCACCTGTATATTGCCTTCAGGTTCCTGCAGGGAAGCAGACATTTCAGACTACTCATTGCATCATGTGGAGGAAGAAATACATTAGGCACAAGGCAGAGGGAAAAGAGACCTCAAGGCTTCCCTGCGACATCCATCAGAAATTAGTTGTCTTCTGTTTATTTTTTATTTATTTGTATCTAGCTTTAAGATAAGGTCATTTTCCATGGGTGGAAGAGGTGTCGAGACAGCGATAACCAATGGACATCAACAGCTGTGCTTGAGTAGTGGAGCCTAGTGGAAATTTCCAGCCAGGACACAGATATCACACCAAAAGGTAAACAGTGATAACCGTAAAGCTGCTTGGCTGCTCAGGGATGCCTTGCCAGCACTGCTTTAACAATGGGAGCAGGCACTGCTCACACTCAACCCTGCCTGGCTGAGAGATGTCTGGTCCCTTTCTGTAAACAAAGAGAAGAAGCCGCTTCTTCCCTACCTTCTGTTTCTCTCGGCTCTTGCTGAGATCTGCTATGGGGCCACATTGAGTGTGGGCACCTCCAGGTCCTGGAAAGCTTTTTTGTGCTGCTCACAGGGCTTGGTGGAGCTGGATCTCTATGCTAACCTTACCAACGGGGAATCGGTGAGGCAGCCGGAGGGCTGAGCTTCCTGGAGAAAGGATCATTTTGCACTGCGCTTCTGCTGATGACTACCTGGCGACCTGTCGTTGTGTAATGAGGGCTGGTTTGTGCTGATGACCTGGTGAAATCCTCTGCTGTGGGTGGGAATGCTGCTGGAGAGGCTGTGTGCTGCTTTGTGGTCTCTGCTGAGCAGGGAGTGGAGGGTTCCAGGGCGGCAAGATGAAGGCACTCAGAAGCTGCACTCTAATCCTCATTCTTCGACACTGTCCACATCCTTTACCAGTGGGCAGTTTTGGACGAGGGGCCTAAAACTGTGCACAGACCTGGTGGTCCCAGAGCTGCTGGGAGAGGGATGCTGAGTGCCCTCCCTGCTCCAGTGACCGGTGGTGACAGGCACAGAGCTTTGAAGTGATCACATGAATCCCACTGATTTGGGTTTGCCATTAAACTGACTTTGTTCCAGAAAAACAAAATCAAGTGTAGCGACTAATTGTAATTTGCTTCCAGTGGTTGTGCACTGCTTCAAACAAAGGCATGGTTCTGCTTGGATCTCAGCTCACTGGGTTGAAATGATAAGCTTTTGGGGTGTTTTTACTATCTAAAGCATTTAGGACAGTAAAACTTGAGAGAAGACACATGCATGGTGAGCAAGCTTGCTGCCACCAGCACAGCCTCCCCAAAACTTGGTGACAACCTGCAGGTACCCATGGCCACCTCACTGTCTGGGGCAGGAGCTCAGTAAGGGCAGAAACATTGGGCTCAGGTGGTGGGTCTGAGCCCCAAAATGAAGAGGCAGAAGTCACTGGCTGTGGAGCACAGACTAAATTGCAGATTCTTCAACAGGTTTGATGCCATCTGGAACAGCAGGCTTGGTGATGCTGTAGCAGTGCAGTGCTTCCTTGCAAATGGTGCTGCTCATGCATGTGTGCTTCATGCAGATTTACTTCTGGGTTTGCTTCCACTGTGCTCCCCAGGTGGCACCAAACTTTCACCATACCTGTGAAAGATCTGGGCTCAGAGCTGGCTGCCTTTTTGGAGGTGACTGAGCAAGTGGGCTCAAATATGCCATGCGCTGTGGCCATTTCCAGTCTGATTGGGCCTGCACAAAGGCAGGGTGCTTCCTCCAGGCTGCTTACCTGGGATCAAGGAGCACACAGTGAGGAAGGAGGAGCTGTGGCAGTGGAGATGCTGAGGAGCTGCACTAAAGGCAGCAAAACCAGGATAGAATGGGACACGCAGGACTGCTATGCATATGCTGTGGTGCATAGGGAAGGGCCGTCCTGCCCTGAAGTGCTCTCTCCCAACAGGAGGGCTGCCCATGGGCGCTGCACCCAAATCCAATCTTGTCCAGGCTGCTCCTCACACATCTTTCCAAAACGGAGCCTCCCCAGGAGCCCACCTTGCTTTGAGTGCGTTCATTGTGTTTGCTGTTTGCAAACGGCATTACAGGGCCTTTCAGAAGATGCTGTTCCTGTCTAGCACATGGAAGAAATGCTGTGTTTGGGGGCTTTGCAGGAAGAGAACTTGCTGTCGCCCCAAACTTCCCCACGTTTAACCATTCCCACCACTACTTCCATCTCCAGCCATTCCGCAGCACAGAGGCACTGCAAGGACGTGACCTCTGGGTACAGTACAACCAGTGCTGAAGGAGATAACGCCGTAATTAATAGATAAAATTCCACTTACGTGATCAGGTACCTTCTGAATTTCAGCATGGTGAGCTGCAGCCGTGGCCGAGCAGCGGGTGCTTGCCGTTGGGTTAGCGCGGAGAGTCTGGCAGAGCAAACATGCAGAGCCTGGCTTGTGTGCCTGCATCTGGTGGCCCCTCCCTGGGTGCTGTCCCTCTGGTGCCCTGCTCTGCAGCGCCTGCCCCCGGCTCTGCTCCGGCTGGTGGCAATTTGCTCAGCCGGTCTTGGGGCTGTGGTGGCCCTCAGCAGTGCTTTGCACCGCGATGGGCGGGCTGACCAGGGATGGTAGGGTAGGAGTGGTGGTGCCACCTGTGTTTGTGTCCCTGCTGCCCTCCTTGGTCTCATCCAGGACCTCTGATGCTCTGTTTTCTCCCATCATGTGTTCTTGCTCTGCTCTTTGCAACTGATCTTTGCTCCTTTTTTTCCGTATCTTGTGTCCTTGCCTTCTTGGCAAAGTCGAGGGCAGACACAGCTTGTTCCTGAGTCCTCGCCGTTGAAAACCACTGCATGATATGATCTCTGTGTCTGTACTGCGGGGAGATCCTGTGCAGACTGGGTTGTGTCTACACGGCTTGGAGGTCATCCTGCTCACCCCTGCTTCAGCCTGGCCTCCTGTGTTCCTCCTGAGGTCTTCACCCCCATACCAGGACTGTGCTGTGCCAGAATGAACAACAGCTGGACTCCCCTGCTTGGAAGCCAGTGCTTCCCAGTCCCAGTATAGCACTGCGTCAGCTTCTTGCTGGCTGGCGAACAGTGCAAGACAAAGGAGAACCAGGAGGCTCTCTTCTATGACAAAAGTCCAGGTTCTCCTCCCTTTTCAGCAGCTTCTTCTCTGTACCCTTTCCTTTCAAGGCCCAGCATCCCAGTCATCACCAGCAGGGACACAGCCACGATCCTGGCACCTGAGCCCAGACAGCAGGACCAGATGCTGCTTGCGTTTGGCCACCCAACACCTGAGGCAGTGGGAGTGAAGGATGTGATGTGTACCATAAGGGCCCTGGTGGTATGTGTTGTCCCCTCTCCTGTGGCCGTATGTCTCTGAGAGAGGCAGACAGACCTGTCTGAGGTCCCTTGTTCTTTAGTGACAGAAGGGTCCAGCTTGCTCCCTTCCCCCTCCTGTCATCTCTTCCTGGCACAGGCAAGCGCTGCCTCTCCCCGTTCACCTCAACAAAACCACAAGTTTGCTGTAGGGCTGCTGCGTTCTCCACCCATCCTGTGCTCCTGCTATCTGACGGGCCGGCAGCTTATCTTGGTGCTTGGGGCCAGGTGAGAGCTGTGGGTTCGCAGGGTGTGTGGATCAAACCCACTGCTACTATTGGGAACTCTGGATGGAGGGATGGAGCTTCTCTCCTCATGTGATCTGAGATGGTTGAGCCCATCTAGGGAGCCATGCTGTAGGATCAGCAGGACTGTAGGAGAGATCTTATTGCTGCAGGGCATGGGGTATCCATTCCTGGCAGCATCCACGCAGACACAATGAGAGGAGAGGCTCATGAATGTGGGGGTGTCCAGGTTTGATCCTGCTCCTGTTGGAGTGTTTCTTCTTCCTGGACTTGTGGGATTTACTGCTGCTCGTCTCAGCCTTTTCCCTAAGGACAAAGCTATTTGTCCATGGTTGGGGACCCCATGAGAGTGCCAGTTTGGGGTTGTCATCCTGATCAGCACCTCCTCTATTCCTCTTTGCTGCTGTGCAGCCTCTTTCCTTGTCATGACCATACATCTGTGGAACAGAAACACCAAAGGGAAAGCCATCTGCTCTGCTGGGCTGGGCCAGGGGGGATGCTGGAGGGCTTATCCCAAGGTTATGGGTATATTGCTCCTTTGTTGGCAAGAGAGGCATCTCTGGTCCAGTTGCTAACCTACACCTGGTGTTAGGGCGAGTAGCAATGTGTGGGAAGGTGACCACTGCTCTGGTGGAGAGCACAGGAGACCCAAGCTGAAATTTCCATCTCCTGGGGCTG